CCCCAGGGGGCCAAGCATGGCTGACAGGCCTGTTTTCTTTGGCCTACAAGGTGTATTGTAACCCACATGAAAAACCCTTAGATTTTACAAAAAGCCAGGATTTCTGCTTCTCCCGAGGACTAGAATACCGGACACTGCCTGGCTCACCCGACAGCAACAAGGACCGAGTCCAGTTTGCCACAGTCCCCACCACTCTCTACTGTCACCCTGGCACCAAACGCCTTCGTCGGTGGCTGTTAAGTGTCACATCTGCACAGCTGGCCTCCTTACATGTCTCTAACCTCTCTCAATAAAAAGAAGACATGTCGCTCCCCATGTCTCTGTGGAAGTGAAAAAAAGGACTTGTTTAACTGCAAACTCTGTGTATAAGAACTGTCTTTTTTCACACATACACCTGCCCCATTCTGTTTGTTTCCATTTCACAACTGTGGACAGCGTTCATGGACTGTAAGACCAAATGAAACCCTGTTTGAAGGAAAAGCAAAGTCAAGGTTCCTGAAACAGTGGACACTGCTGGAGGCCAGCTCTCCACTCCCCCAGAGAGAAAGGATCGTTTTCCAAGTACCGTGACGTTCGGCCTTATCCCTGAACCCCAGCCAGCACAGTCGTGGGTAAGTCTGTCACTGACAAACCACCGTCAGGACACACAGCGTGGGCTGACTTAGGCTGCTTTGAGAGAGGTGACAGCAGCATTTCACTGGGACACAGTGTGTTCTCGCCAGGAGGGCCCCTCCCACGGACTGGGCTCTGCCCCCCGCCCCGCAGCGCAGCGCCCTCTGCTCTGCACCCCAGCCTCACCTTGGGCGGCTTCAGGCTCCGCCCGCGCTGTCTCCTGGAGCGAAGCAGCCGCTCTCGTTCCTGGAGGGGACACAGCTGTCCACACGTGAGCAACTTCTCAGCCCCCCACCCCAGGGCCCTGAGCCCAGGGCCTCGCCCCCTCACCCCAGCCCCCAGCCTCCTGCCCCTGGCCCCCTGGCCGCCACCCCCAGGTCTGCAGGTCCTCAGGCCCTGCCCCATCCCCCTCCCCTGCCCCCAGCCCCCTCTACATCGGACCCTGACCCCCCGGCTCCCAGGCACCCAGCCCTCTGTGAAGAGCCCAGGACAGCTCAGTCCGCGCCAGGCGGTGGTGGGGGCCGCATTCTCAGCGCTGCACCATTGTCTCGAGCCCTAACCGAACTCAGGCGTGACCGGGGAACACGCCAAGACCTGCAGTCCTGCGCACTCGGGCCTGTCTGCTCTGGGCCTGGGACTTCACATCCCCAAGAGATGCAGGGGCCTCTCTGCTGCAGAGAGCAGGCCGGTGGCTCCCGGCGTGAGGAGCCTGTGAACATCCCCAGCCCTGCTGGCCAGGGACCCACTCTTCCTCTGTGGAAGCAGTGCCCGCAGGACGATGCCCCAGATGAAAGCAGTACATCTTCTCATTTGTAATCACATTTCCCTTTTCCCCTTGGCTGCCAGGAAACCCAGAACCGAATGTGGTAAAGCCTCAGCCCTG